GAAGCAGGGATGCTTAGGGCGGGCCTAGGCTTTGTGATTGAGCAGCGCATTCTCAGTGAGTCCGTCCGGGGCTGCAACGCCAACAAACTGCAGATCAACCTGTCAAACTAAGGCAGGATGCTGATCAGACTATGGAAGTCGCAGATTTAGGACTATTTGCTGTGCGTTTGTACCTTAATATGTTGGTGTTGGCTTTCCTCCTCCCTGGGGCAGGCAGATCTGGATCTCGTACAACCGTGCCCCCAAGAGGTCGATCACGGCGGCATGCCTTCCTTTATGGTCTGTTTGACTCTAAATGGGACCATCAGTTACTAAATGAACATCATGCTGTATGGAAGAAGACTGAAACTAGAGACTGAGACCAGAAACTCATCAGGAAACTGAACTTACTGAACTTGGTTCTAACAAATTGTTGAGCTATTTCATAACTATAATGTTAATTTTAACAGCAGCATTTATAGCTCAAACACGTTTTAGGGTGCAGTACTTCTTTAATCTCATTGTTTTAGAATCATATCATGAATCCAGCATTGTGAATTGTATTGACATAAGTTCAGTTTATCATTACGTCCATAATGAAGTCTGTTGTGCTCTTCAGTGCCCTTTCTCAAGAGGAACAAGATGATGCTCAGCTGAAGATAGAGGACATATTACAGATGGTCAGTATTACCGCCAGTTATCACCACAAAGTACTTAACAGAAGGGATTTTATTATAGATTTTAAGCACATTTTTGAATAATTTATCTCCAGAAAAGCTGTCCACTACTGCACTTCATTGTGGTAAGAATAATGTCACTATGAGGACCAGCTGAGCAGTAGCTACTGTGTGTTGTGGTGAATTCTGTCACAACCAGTTACACCGTAGGAGGATCCCCAGTATGTAGAGTGGACTGTGGTAGATCAGTGGTTCCCAACCTGGGGGTCAGGACCCACACTAGCTTCATGGGGGGGTCGCAAGGCCTTTTTGATTATAAGGCGTGCTAGAAAACTCTGTATCTCAGCATTCGGTTCATCTCTGTGAAGAAAAGTAAAAGTAAATTGTCTAATAGCAATGGTCAAGTGTCGGGGACAATAAAACACTGAATTTGTCAAAAAAGAAGCCTATTAAGTCTGTATGATTGTTAAAAACTATCAGAATACATAATTACAGACAGAGAATTATATAAAAGGTTCCCTAAACGGGAAATAATCTGCTCAAAATTCATCTAAATCGCTCATTTTACACAAACTTCCTGCAGTTACTGAGTTCACTGTTTGGGTTCATTGTACAGTTTTGAATATAGTTATGAAAATCTGCCACTTAGTCAGGCGTCATCAGTTTACTGAACTATAGAAAAGGGGTCCCTTAAGGAAAAAGGTTGGGAACCACTGCCGTAGATCTTTGATACAGCCTTTTTATAAATTCTCTACTCCAAGTTGTTTGTATGTGTTTCCAGGCGGAGAGTCCGAAGGCGGAGTGTTTTGAGTCTCTCTCTGCGATGGAGCTGGCAGAGCAGATCACACTGCTGGATCACATCGTGTTTAGGAGCATTCCCTATGAGTGAGTACTTATTAATAATTATTGAGGAAATAAATACTGTGGTCAGTTGTTGTAGCAGTGGTTCCCAAGACCCCCACTAGGGGTCGCCAAAGCTTCACAGGGCGTTGTGAGGCCTTCCTGATTTTAAGGGATGTAAGAAAAGAATATTGGCAGTTGGCCTATATCCCAGCATTTTGTTCATTTCTGTAAAAAAAACTAACAATTATATTATTATTTAAGATGTAAACTTTGAAGATCTGAACACTGAGGTTAAAAATCACATATAATGTATGTTTGTCCTTACAAACTTTATACTTGAACCACAACAAAACCACAACTTATCAGAAAAAATATATAAAAAGGTAATATTATATTTCCACTGGGTAAACACTGTTCAGCTTTGTTCTGTCTTCCTGCACACATTGTTCACATCGCTCAGAGAAACTTGCAGCACATTGCTTGAATGCGTACGTACCATTAACTGTATATAAAAGGTACGTACGCACCAGTAAAGCTGATTCTGATGACGCTGAATGTCTCTGATCCTGCAGGGAGTTCCTCGGTCAGGGCTGGATGAAGGTCGACAAGTCAGAGAGGACTCCGTACATCATGAAGACCAGCCAGCATTTCAATGACGTGAGACTAAACAGTATTATTTGTTTTTAGATTATTATCTACAGCAGTGGGCCAGTGGAATTACTCTGTGTGTACATATATATTTATAGTCTATAATAATAACTTATTTGCTTTAACCTGTGTTGACCTTGTATCGGTCTGTGCCGGCCACGAAGTTGCTTCAGTATAAACTAAACATTATTAGGCTGCATTAGTTAGCATTAGGTGTACTTAATAACGTGCTAACTGCGTCCTCTGACCACAGATGAGTAACCTGGTGGCGTCGCAGATAATGACCCACACTGACGTGGGCTCCAGGGCCAGCTCCATAGAGAAGTGGCTCGCGGTGGCTGATATCTGTCGCTGCCTCAACAACTACAACGGCGTGCTGGAGATCACTTCTGCTCTGAACCGCAGCGCCATCTTCAGGCTGAAGAAGACCTGGGCGAAAGTCTGCAAACAGGTCGGAGTCTACGGAAACGTAACGCAGTCGCTGGAGAAATGTTTGCCCAGTTTTTTCTGAATTAACGTGATACCTCCAGCGAGCTTAACCCAAATCCCTTAACAGGCCTCCAGCATCTTCCAGTGGGCCCAGGCAGGGATCTCAGCCCCCTAAGCCTGAACCAAAGCCCCTAACCCTGGCTCTCCAGTGAGCACCAGCAGGCCCCGTATACCCCTCACCCACCAGCTGAACCTGTGCAGTTTTACACACTTAGAGCTGCATCTGATATATGTTTGTGCCCCTGGTAGTCTGCTGGAGAACCGGAGGGAGGGAGGGAGGGAGGGAGCTGGGGCCCGTGCACACAGCCGAGGTGTAAACATTAGTTTTCAGTTTTTTAAAATCTTGATAATTCAGAAAAACAGAGCAAACTTTTTATTTTATGAATGAATGCATTATGTTCCTACTATTGTTTTTCCGTAGGAATCAATTTATTTAAACTATTCTCCACACAGAAGCTTTCTGATGATGTTTCTTTGTGTATTTTTTAGACAAAGGCGCTCATGGACAGGCTGCAGAAGACGGTGTCATCGGAAGGAAGGTTCAAGAATCTCAGAGAGACACTGAAAAAGTAAATACTGCAAATTACCAGAGAAAAATATAGTGGTTAAGTGTTTAAATCCAGTCCGTAAAAACTGTCTAATGTTTGTGTGTGTGTAGCTGTAACCCTCCATGTGTCCCGTACCTGGGCATGTACCTCACTGACCTGGCTTTCATTGAGGAGGGAACACCCAACTTCACAGAGGAGGGCCTGGTGAACTTCTCCAAGATGAGGATGGTAAAGATTTACTCTGTCCCTGCTCCCGTTCTTTTATCGTCCTTATTAAGCTCTCTGTTCGCTAGAGCCCTCCCCTCAACAAAAACCTTCACAAAACCAAAAACACAAGTATAAGGAATCGATTAAACCGTGTGTTTATCTGATGGTGCTAAAAAAACTGAATATCAGTACAGTTTTCTATTTAGTTGACGCACAGAGCAGCCATCTTGGATGATGCAGGCGCCGTGGTAAAAGTAACTAAGGGAATCAGGGCTTGGCGAGCAATCAGTTATTTATTTATGGTTTATTTGATTGGCACAGATACAGTCAACATAGACAGGCTGAAAACAGCTAATCATAGTGTTTAAAGTGGATGCTAATTTGCTAAAAAAAGTAAACAGAATACAAAAAACACATAAAACACAGAATTAAAGCCGTTTCAGTTGAACCAAGTCGTCTATATTAACTCTGTCCCTGCTCTCTCAGATTTCACATATTATCCGGGAGATTCGTCAGTTCCAGCAAGCACCTTACAGGATAGAGCACCAACCCAAGGTGTGTCTCTGTCTGTGACACTCCTCTGCCTTTTACCACTAAATAATTCATTCATTAAAACGTTTTTAAATGTAAGTGTCCTCTCTGTCCTCCTCCCCCCTCCAGGTGACTCAGTTCCTGCTGGATAAGACACTAGTGATGGATGAAGATACCCTCTATGAGCTCTCACTGAAGATTGAACCCAGAGTACCACCTGGCTAATTACAACTAATACACACACACACACACACACACACACACACACGATATACATATTTTCTGTCTTACAGTATCAATCACGAATTACCACAACTTGAGATTCTTTCTTAATAAAGCAGGGGTTGTTCCACAAGACGCCGCCGGTTATTGTGCTCAGGAAACTCAGGAGACAACGTGCCTTTGAATGAATATCTGATGTGTATATTTAGTAAAGCACAGTGAACTGTATAACAAACACAACTCTGCCATACGATCGTACAGTTATGACTGTAGAAACAACCATGTTAGCTCTACTATAAGGTGACCAGTTGCTGCTATCACACTGTAAATACCAAACAATCTGCCTCCGTAGTCTCGCACACCAACGTCAGATGAGTTTTACATTATTTGTACGATGATGGTCGGACTAACCTGGCTGCGGTCCCCCGGAGGCTGAAATGAGCCCTGAGGTTTGCTGTGTGGTGGTTTCCAAATTAAGTTAGGAATACACAAGCTGCAGAAACAAGCTGCTTATTCCAGTGGTTCCCAACCTGGGGGTGTGGACCCCCACTAGGGGTCGCCAAAGCTTCACGAGGGCTCTTGATTTTAACGGGTGTAAGAAAACCTTTTCACAGTTGATTCACATTAAGAAATGTAAATGTAAATGTAATATAGACAGAAAAGTTCCAGGAACAGGAAATAATCTGCTCAGAATTCATCCAAATCACTCAAGTTACACAAATTTCTTGCAATTACTGAGTTCACTGTTCGGGTTAATTGTACAGTTTTGTATATAATGTGAAATATCTATAAAATATGTCACTTAAGGGGTCGTCAGTTTAATAAATGATAGAAAAAAGGGTTGGTAACCACTGATTTACTCGACTGTTAGGGGACAGCGCTGAATGTAATGCGTCCCTGTTTTAACCCAAAGACGTCTTTTAAATGAGGTACTGTAGTAAAGTATCTTACCTTGACAGTTAATATTGATTCCAATATTCCCAAACACAATATCAATGAATCAAATGAACACAAACCAGTTTCCACACAGTGAACCTGAAGCATTTTGGAGCCTCTGGCGGGGTTCAGCTCCTGTGTACGATGTGTGTGTGTCACAAACCGCTGGAGCACAGTTACATTTAATCTACCTTAATACTGACTCATCTGTCCGTCGGTGGTTGTTGATGCTCACAGGTGACGTTGCTCCAGCTCCGTGTAGTTTTCTATCGGTCACTCTGTTAACACTAGCAGTTCATGCGGTTGCTGTAATCTTTGTAGTTTATACACATTCTGCACAAATCTGAAAATGTGCACATCGCAAATTTAAGATATTCATCTTTCTTGACAATCAGAAGAGTCTTTTTCAGTTTTATAATATTCATTTTGTACACAATAATCCAATTTCTGCTCTTTTCTCGAAAGAGAATCGGCCTGAAAGGTTTCTTACGAGCTACCGAACCCGACAGTTAAAGTGTGTCACTGTTATTATTATTAATATTATTATTATTATTATTATTATTATTATTAGTTCCTTGTCAATGTGATTATTTAATCATGTTTTAAACCTTGTGGACTGTATTAGTGGTAATATATTTGCACTATTGCTTTGTAAAGAATGTCAATAGACTCTAAACTTGACTATAGCATGATGTCCCCTGTGTTAGGTTACTGTTATCCTTCGACTGTTTCATTAGGTTCAGTTCTACGTCAGGAATCTGAAGAAAAAGGCTTCAATGCATTAGTTTATAAGACCCTTGTTTTCTTACATTACTTTGAAATTCCAGTTTTGATGTATTTTTCCATACGTTTCTCTGTGTGCTGTACAGATATTTACACACAATAAAAACAAAACATTGTGAATCATAATGTAGTATTATAAGTGTTTTTATGAGCTCAACACACATCTTTAACACATACGCATAAGACCGGAGATATACTTGTTGTTAACTACGCGTTCGTGTGACGGCTTCCTCGCGTATCCTGCGTCAGGTTGGACCGTTAACGCGATACAAATCTGTGGTTGAGAAGCAGGTCCAGCTAAAAGCTAATAAATAAGCTAATCAAGATAATACCCAGACCTTTTTCACAGCAGTCATTTTAACATGAAATAGTAGGGTAAACATAGGTGTGACCGATGATGCTAATTAAGGTTCTGTTGCATTCAGGTTAAACAGAGTTGAGGCTAAAACAGACTGTACAACCCCACATAGACCATGGATGTGCTACCACGTGTCAATTTCACGCCATTTCCTGCCTGAAATGATTAATTATAATGTAAAAAACAGCTGGAGTTCTGGAGCTCTTCAGGTATTGAGTTTACTATCTAAACATGATTTTAAGCTAATGACAATGCTAATGCTTGATTTTAGTATGAAAAAAGTAAACGGTTTGCTTTCACAGCTGAACAGGTTCAGGTTACATCTTGTTGAATGGGACTACACGCAAAGTATCATTTGTCATCTCTGCTGTGTGATGCTTCCTATCTGTGCTTGGGGCGGCATCATATACAGAGCTGAGGCACACGGTGTTTTAACCTTAACCTGAGTTTTTAACCTTTTCCAGTGAGCCAACATGCAGAATAGCTACTATTTCATGTCAAAATGTCTGCTGTGAAAAAGGTCTCTTACAGAATAAAATACAGAAACACTAGCAAGACGTTGCTAGTTGCACAGAACAAAAATTTCCAAGGGGAAACTAAACACTTATGAACACGCCCAGACACACATTTTGTTGCCATGATCTGTGGCTGATAGCTCACTGAAGTCTACAACCGATCAGTGAAATGAGTCAGAATGAGTTTTTAGTGTCCCCTTGAAGCTTTTATATATAATTAAAATTCTGATGTTTTCTTCTGTGTTCTCCAACTTCTGTATTTAGCTGTGGTGTCTGTGTTTGTTTTTATTTCTTCATTTCTATTTGTATGTTTTTTGTTAAGTCTCTGTATGAGGAGGAAGAAAGTGTGTGTGTGTGTGTGTGTGTGTGTGTGTGTGTGTCTGCAGTTGTAAATATCAAGGTCAAACTGGACAGTGACATCGGACCCCCGGTGGTCATGGTTAATCATGGCTCAGAGTGAGCGGTCTGTGCTGTTGTAGCTCATGTTGGAGGCCCTCCATTGGTTTACAAAGGTTTCTTTCTGAACTTATGATTGGCCTTCAGTTTTTAATCCCACATGAGGGGGAGGAGCCCCCCCATGAGAGGAGAGTGAAAAGCTCAGAGACCTTTGGCAAGAAGGCAGAGCAGCTTTTCTACAGGTACTGTACCTTCTTCTTCCTTTTTCTCTCGTAGAAAGGCTTCCAGTGTTTGTACGTACGTCTCAAACTGTTTGTGAAATCATTTGTAGAGTGTTTCTAAAAGAAGACCCCAGCTTGATATCATGGTTTTTTGCATGTTTTTTTGACATTTATAGTTAATCTGAGGGGGATTATCAGTGAGTGCATGCTTTAAAAGTCAAGTGTCTAACAGGAGAGGTGGATGGACGCTAGAGGAAGGGTGTGATGATGACTTTACTGTAGCTGAGCAAACAAAAGTGAGGAAAGATTAAGAGTAATTGTAACTTTATTTATGAATTTGATCTAAAAGAAATCTTTGCAGTTTTTTTTTTGCATTTTGCATGAAAACATTTATATATGTATTTTAAAAGCTTTCCTAAATTTAATTTGAAATACCTGAGGAGGTGTTAACTGTCCTTCGTCCTCTGGAGAGGGCGAGCTGCTCTTACACGTACTCCCTCAGAGTTAAAAGGTCACATTGGTCAGGGGAGAAGGAGGAGGAGGAGGAGGCTGATCCCCGGGTCTGTAGTGGTTTTGATGTAATCCCATGACCATGTGATCCAGTGTCAGTTAGCAGTGGAGGCTTTAGTAAGCCTCCCGGATGTCTATTGATTTCTAATTTTGTCTGAACTTTTCCTTCCTCCTGAGAATATTCTTGCATTCCCATCATTGCTGCTTGAACTCTCACCTGATTTTTGTCCTTACATCCGCTGATCCGTGTTCTCCACCTGCCTTTCCATCGCTCTGCCCTGCTAACGTGGCCTCACGAGGATCTGGTCTTGTGACTGGTCCAGAATGCCACTGCGTTGTCAGCCAGAGAAGTTTTGCCTGTATCTTGGCACTGAATCCTGGCAGCACAACTGCCTTCCAAAGATCTATAAATAATATTTCCAGTGACCCAACGAGCTCACAGACTTCCCCCTCCGCACAGTGAGTGGAAAAAAGAGTCAGTGAGGTAAATTCAGTAGATAAAAACCTTCTGACTTATTGGGTGAATGGATTCGGTGCAGGCGACTGATCGGCCATCTTTCTAGGATTAACAGTAGTGCTGATGTCCTCACAGCTTCCCTCTATATTAAGACACTTTCCTCCCTCTGTGAAGGACAAGCTAGAATACGACCTTCCTGTCACATTTAGGTTTTATATTTTAACATTTTAAATCCATTTAAGCAATAATGAATGCTAACGTCTGGCAACTACAGACGGATTTCTCTCTGCATTAGAGCTGTCTGCAGTCCCACTCTTTCCTTTGAGCTTAAGACGGACTTCTTTGGGTACCTGTTCATTACTGAAGCATTAGTGGACATATGAAACCTGCCATCCTGTGGGTGGGAGACTCTGTGATAATGCTAAGAGGCTAAGAGCATCTGCCACAGCCCCTCCTGCTCTAAGCTTGTTACTGTATTAAACAAAAAGGTGCATGTGAGGCGTCAAAGCGGCAGTTGTGAAGAACTGAGCACAAATGCAGATCAAACGCAGGAATTGAACATTTATAGAAGTTAAATGTGATGGAAAAAAGGCTCTGATTCCCACTTAATAAGCTCATACAGCAACTAGAAAGGCGGTCGGAGAGCACAGACTAGTGACTAATAAGTCACTCTGAGCTTCTTTTCTTTTCTGCTGTACAGGGCTGTTTTCTCCTCCCTGATATGTTGTCCTCATGGATTGTACATCATTTCATTCAATAAAAGAGAAAAAACACTCTACCAGATAGCAAGCTGTCAGTCAGCAAGTTAGGTGGCTTCATTGTGTCTCAGGTTGATGCCATTGTTTCATTCAAATCCCAATATTGACGAAAAATGTCCCATTGGATGGAAAGCCCATATCCAACAGTCCGTTATCCCAGAAACCATTTTTCTACTGTAGGACAATTTATTCTCCCACAGACACAGGAGCTAACTTTCACTATAGTTAGGTAGTTAATTTGGGAATGAGACTCAACAATCAGCTATCTTTTTTGGCTTTAATTGGTTGTTTCTGTTCGGCCCAGTGGATTCTTGTAAATCCCATCAGGAGCACCAGGATGAGCCAGAGGAACCAGATTATCTGTCTCATGTTCTACTGTCAGGATATAGTGAAGGATTCATTCAAGTGTATTCTGTGTGTTTAACATCATCAACGCGACTAAAACTGTCTTTTCTCCTCCTCTCCAGCTCTTTTGCTTCTGACAGAGATTTACAAACTAGCAGAAAGATGGCGAGCTCTTTCAGGCGTCTGATCTCCGGCCGCAACACGGCTGTGCTGTTGGCCAGTCTGGGTGCAGGAACGATGGCGACCGGCTTCTTGTTGAGCGAAAACGGCTCCCTGGCTGCTGAGATGAAGAAGAAGCTCTATCCTCCCAGGTAAGACATCAATCAATTCAGATCCGTTACCTAAACGTACCACAAAGAGACCATCAGAGAGAATATTGGCTATTTCTATATGGTTATTCTTAATGTCTGCCAGCGGGTCGGATTCCCCTTCAAATCAATGAAACTTCGCAGCCACTGTAGTTTCTCCTACACATTTCACATTCCCAAATCGTCAAATGCAGACGCAAGGGGTGTTCAGTTTGTTGCAATCTGCAGCTTCACCACTAGGTGCCACTAAATCCTACACACTGTCCTTTAAGAAGCATAATAAGAATACTTTATCCTTCAGATTAGGCTGCAACTAAGGATTATTTTCATTATCATTTTCTCGATTAATCGAATAGTTATTTGATCTGTAAAATGTTTTCCTAAAGCTCAAGGTGACCCTCAAATGTCTTTTTGTGTGCACAAGATATTCAGTTTACTGTCGTAGAGGAATAAATACACCAGAAAATATTCACTTTTTCTTGGAAAATTACCCAAATAGTTGCCCATTAACTTCATAGTTGACAACTAATCGATTGACTAATTGCTTTTGACTAAGCTTTACTTCAGTTTATCACAAACATTCACATTCAAAATCACAAAATTTGAAGATACATGAAATATTGTAATGTGAAAAGTAAGAGACAGTCAAGTGAAGTATATTAAATTCTGAATTCATGAAGAATAAGGAAGGAATATGTAGAATGTGGAAAGAGGTCCTTTCTCAGCATTTATTGTAAGTGCAGTGGATGGATGACCTTGATGAGTCAATGAACGGTCCAAGCTCTATAATTATCTTCCTCACCAACACAGGAACCGACTACGTGCTCCACATCACTGCCACATTTCAGAAGAATGACTCATTGCTTTGTGTTTCCACCGACAGGAGACACGAGTGCAGGAGCTGGGACACTCTGTGAGCCCAACAGACAGAAAGTGTACAGCTTTAATGAGTTAGTGAACCTCTGAGAGTATGAAAGAGCACAAGAGGTCATGGCAGCCACATTGCCACTGTCTGACGCTCTCGGGTTTCATCTGCGTTACCTTTGACTCACTCTCTCTCACCTTCTCGTCTTTACTACTACCTCCCTTTAAATTTAAGCAGAGTAACGACCAGTGACTCTGGATGTGTCCCAAAAACGTGGTTTTAATTTCTTTTCCTTTCAATGATAAACAATGATAATGATAAAGAGGAATAAAATCCACAAAAACAAGTAACTTTTTACCATTTTGGAA